CCCGGGACTTGCAGCAAGCAAGCCCGGGCGGTCGCCATGGCAACGGGCTGCGGAAGCTGCCCGGGGCCAGACAAACTGGCAACAGCTTGTGCGCATGCGCGGGAAAGCGCGCGCTCTGTAACGAGTTTACCCGGACCGTTTGTGTGGCTCTCAGAGCCGGTTGTAAGCTGAGAAGAGAAGCAGGAGGCCTGTGAGTCTCTGTTTACTGCAATGAACAATTAAGTCATTAAAGAAGCTTTTGGTTCACACTATGCCTGTTGAACTGTCATTTGAATCCAAGGATTTAACAGTTAGACTGGACTATTCTGGTGCTGCACCCTCAGTGAGCAGTCAGGGATTATTTGATTGGTCCACCCAGGTGCTTGATGGATTCTCTTGATTTTCTAAGGATGTTTAAGGACTTTCCTGAGATTCTGATGGGCAGTTTAATTTGAAGCCTTAGCTATCACTTGTAATGAGCAAGAGACAACAGTCTGGGTAGGATTGTTCCTGAGTAGCCTCTGCTGTTCACTGCTCCTGGGTGTATTACATCTGAGTTGGTTTATTGAGTTGCTCCATGAAATGAAGTAGCAGAAGAGATACCAAAAGACCAGGAACAACTGTGATTGAATGTATGTATTACTCTGGATTAAGGTCTATAGTCTAGTGATGAGAGAAGCAATAACATAGCTTTCTCCCCAGTCTTATTACCTCTGTGGAGTCCTGCTCAGTTAGAGTAGGCACAAGTCCATCTGCTTCCAATTCTGCTGTCTTTTAAAAAAGATTTTTTTTAACATTTTCAGTTTTTCAAACAGGCAATTTGTGATCTTGTTTGACTGATGATGGGTGGCTGGAACTTTCTTGCTTGTGATTGTAAGAATTTATAGTTATTTCAGATGTATGAGAACTTGATGGTCTTTAAAAATATCTTTTAGACAAATACGGGCTGCCTTATCCTCCCTTATTTTTTCTGAAGAAGAACTATTGGTTTAAATCAAGAAAGCCTGACACCAGTGATGTTCCTACAAATGAACAAAGTCGTGGAAATATTTTCAGTGAAAATATTGAACCTGTGCCTCCTGAATTCGATGGGAAGGAAGCCATTCGGTAAGAGTCTAGAAATATGGCATTAAATATTTGGAGCGATGGAAGATATTCTAACAGGACTATACTGTAAATTTCTCTTATTCATAAGTCTTGCCTCAACTCCATTCAAGACAATCTAGACTGTGCATTTGGAGAATACTAAGGATTTCCTTCTCAAAGTAAACTAATATAAAAAATATATCACTCCTGAAATACAAACTGGATTCATGTAATATTTCCAGTGACATGCCAAAAGTTAAGCGCGGGATATAAAATTACATCTCCCCCCCCCCCCCGTGGTGTATTGTAAGATCACAACATTTGTGAGAATAATATATGAATAATTAAAAAGTTCAATATTTCCGATTTTTTTAGATTAAATGACATTAAAAAAACATATAACGTGGAAAACACAAAAACGGAAGCTTTGAGAGGTAAGATATATTTGCAATCCATGTCTTAATCTTTTTCTCTTAATTTTCTTTCCTCAAATTCAATGATTTGTTCTACCATAGCACTGGTTTTGAATATATATACTGCCCTTTAGTGTGAAATTTAGCCCAGGAATCAGCCTTACTATGCTTTGTACAGATAGTCCATGCTTGAATGTCCATGATAGCACTTGATGACATTGTTGCCCCTTCATGTCCAAGGATTTTCAAAATTAGAAATATCTACAATGCTGAGAGATTGTTAAACAAAAAGGCAGTAGAATCTTACAAAAATATATTTTTTTTGTATAAGATTTCATAATTTTTTTGTTGAAAATGATGAAATCTTGTAATATGTTAAATATAAGCACTAATATTTCATGAATATTTTTTGGATGTCCAGAGGGAAACAAATGTTCACGAGATTTGACTAACCTCACACAATTCCAGTATTTTAAAACTTTAAAACTTGAGTGAACCCAAGCTTTTACGTGACATGATACGATGGAATCTGAAAGATTGATGACAAACTTGTAACCTCCTCTGGAAAAAAACTTCCCAAGGTCCTTTTCAATCTGCAGTATACAAACTTCATGCAGTTTTACAAGGTCCATCATGGGGGCTTCTGCATCTGTTTTGCTAGGGTTCCCATCAGCATCCTAATTGGCAATAGATGCTGGGAGAAAATCACTAGACTCCTGTGGAGGAGTGCACAACACCTTTTCTCTTCTTCCCAATGACCCCGATAAACCTAAGTAGTGGGCAAATTGTTGGGAAGATATATATAAAGATTCCCAGTCAAGAGGGAAAAATTATCACTGGCTGAAATTCATTACAGAATTTGGGACAAAAAATACTGTTTTTGAGATAGTGCTCAAGTTGAACAAAATACCTGAATGATAAGCAAATAGGACGATTATCCTGATTTGTGAAAGCAAACATAGTTCATTTGCAGACAACTTGAAAATACTTTTCTTTTATTAGGATTGGGCAGGTTGGCCAAGGATTTCAAATGCCCATTTGCAGATAGTGTTTTGAGTTCATGGACTGCCTAAAAACAAGAAACAAGCTTATCTCTAAGCTGTCTTTTCATTCTTAGCAATCCTTCAGATCTTTGGCTTGGCCATTTTTTCAAGACAACAATGGCAGAGTAGTGCTCACTGAAAACAGAAATCATTTTAGAAAGCAGCTCAAATTCTTCTTTTGAAACTTCATGTATCAAAACTGTTTTTTTATGTATCGCTGAACTTTTAGAGTTAACACATGTTCTTCTACATTAGGCTTGTCTTTGGATATCTATGAAGGTCAGATCACTGCAGTTCTTGGTCATAGTGGAGCTGGAAAAACAACATTGCTAAATATCCTTGGTGGATTTTGTAAGCCAACTGATGGTAAGAATCGAACTTTAAGAAGTGGTCAGATGCATGACTAATCCTAACCTAGTTTACATAAGAATAGTTCATCTGGACCAGACTAAGATCACGTGAAGTGTTAATACCACTTTACAATGCCTTGGTAAGGCCACACTTGGAATATTGCATCCAGTTTTGGTCACCACGATGTAAAATAGAATGTTGAGATTCTAGAAAGAGTACAGAGAAGAGCAACAAAGATGATTAGGGGACTGGAGGCTAAAACATATAAGGAACGGTTGCTGAAATTGGTATGTCTAGTTTAATGAAGAGCAGGATGAGGGGTGGCATGATAGCAGTGTTCCAATATCTCAGGGGCTGCCACATGAATAGGGAGTCAAGCTATTTTCCAAAGCACCCGAAGGCAGGACAAGAAGCAATGGATGGAAACTAACCCAAGAGAGAAACAACCTAGAACTAAGGAGAAATTTCCTGACAGTGAGAACAATTAACCAGTGGAACAACCTGCCTCCAGAAGCGGTGAATGTTCCAACACTGGAAGTTTTTAAGAAGAAACTGGACAGCCATTTTTCGGAAATGGTATAGGGTTTCCTGCTTGAGCAGGGGGTTGGATTAGATGACCTCCAATGTCCCTTCAAACGTCGTCTTCTTCTTCTTCTTCTTCTTCTTCTTCTTCTTCTTCTTCTTCTTCTTCTTCTTCTTCTTCTTCTTCTTCTTCTTCTTCTTCTTCTTCTTCTTCTTCTTCTTCTTCTTCTTCTTCTTCTTCTTCTTCTTCTTCTTCTTCTTCTTCTTCTTCTTCTTCTTCTTCTTCTTCTTCTTCTTCTT